GTACTTCCAAATATTCTTCTCCAGTATCACAATTAAAACACATCTGTTCTTCTTTGGTCTTTCTTATTCAATTTCTAACTTTCACATGCATATGATGCAATGGAGAATACCATTGCTTGGGGCCAGGTGCACCTTAGTCCTCAAAGTAACATCCTTACTCTTCAAGACTCTAAAGAGGCCTTGTGGAGCAGATTTACCTTATGCAGCATGTCTTTTGATGTCTTGACTGCTGCTTCCATGAGAACTGATTATGGATCCAAGTAAGACGAAATCCTTGACAACCTCAACCTTTCCTCGGACTCTGCTCCCGCCTACAGAGGAAGAAGCCATTGAAAACCTTTTGCTCTCATTGGGTGTCAAGTTTTTGTTTTTGTTTTAAATCTTTTTCACAAGAAATGTAAACTGTATGTCTCTCAAGCAAAACATGGAATGCCAGTAAGAAAGCCTCTCTCTCCCTCTCTCCTTGTTCTGATTTTGAAATCTCAGATTTTGTGTTAGTTATGCAGTGCTGCTATGACAAAATTATCACAAGTGGATAGTTTTAACAGACAAAAGTCTATTCTTTCACAGTTTCAGACACTAGAAGCCTAAATTCAGAGTGCTGGAAGGCTGTCTCTCTATGTGAACTCCGAGCAAAGACATTTGTTTCCTTTTAGCATCTGTGGGCTTGACATTTCTTGGAGATCTCCATGAGCTTTGGTTGTCGACCATTCTCTGTATCTAGAAGCTTCACTGTGCAGGGACCACTCCTGGTTTTCTGTTTGGTGGTCCTAGGTCCCTTTCCTTTCTGTTCAGTTCTCTCTCTTTTCATCTCTTGTGAAATAGATAAAAGGAGTGACAAGACAAACTTCAAGAAAGCCACCCTTTCATGGACCAGGGATGTGACCAGATTAAAAGTATTGCATCCCACCCTGAATTCTCTTATTCATTAGTCACATCAGATCACATACTGGGGGCACATTACATAGCTGTTATATTGCGTAACAACTAAACCACTGAGAATCGTGGTTCAGTCAAGCTGACACACATTTTGGGGGCATACAACCCAATTCATGGCACATTTTATCTGTGCCATTATCTGAAATCATCTTGCTTTCATGCCATCAATGCAATACTAAAAGATGCAAAATATGTAAAGCACATAGTACATGGCTGGAATTTGATATGCGTTCCCATTACAATTGTAAAGTGAAATTCTAAACTCTCAGGTTATGCTGGTCTCATCAGTACTTTATTTTTCTCTGTGTTTTCCCTAGTCATGTCATTCAATCAAGACTTTAGCTGTTTTCTCTATGGATGGCTTATGGGTAGAATTCCACTTCCCATCCCAGAGGCCTGGATTTAGTTCCTGGCCAATGCACTTTATATGCAGCCACTAGTCATCTATCAGGGGAGGCTTTTGTGCTGCTATAAAGCTCAATGGGTCAGTGGAGCTCCAGACTGAAGCAAACTAGGACAAACATGCCTGTGAAGGCTACTTCCACATATTGCCAATAAAAACTGCAAGGATCGCAACTGGTAGCATAGTGGATTACGTGCTGGACTGCTCACCACAAGGCTAACAGTTCGAAACAACTAGCTGCTCTGGGGGAGAAGGATGAAGCTTTCTATTCCTGTAAAGATTTACAGTCTTGGAGCAGTTTTCTACTTTGTCCTATCCGATCACCACGATTCAAAATCGACTGAATGGGAGTAAGTTTGTTCTGGGATCACAGCTGTTTGATCCACATTGGATCTTAGGGATCGCACAGGATTGAGCAGTATTTCATTCCATTATGCAAGATGTGGCCATGAGTCAGGGGTAAAATTCATGGCAGCTAAAAGCAACAAAAATTTTCAAATTGACATTTCTGCGCACAAGTTCCACTGAGCTCCAGCTTCATATGTCAATGCTCATTTAACACATGTCCTTGCTTATCTCGTAGTCAGCTTTAGCAGTGTTTTCAGACTAAAACCCAATGTACTGTCTGTCCCCCTCCCCAAATCCGTACCACCAAATATCTGGCTGTTTCAGCCAGCTGTCTGCATTGAGTCCTCCTTGTCCCCCTCCCCCCCGAGTGTCATCTCATCTCAAGTCTCCTACTCGTCCTCCCCTGAATCTTGAATTAGCTCACGAACGATCACATGAGACATTTGAATGCATTTTAAAATCGCTTATTGTTTTTCAATAGGCAGAATAGAGTAGAAACAAAATATAAAGACATTGATAAATGCCTTTTTATGCAACTATAAGTCACATCCATGTATCTGCATCTGTTCAGAACATGCGATAATAATAGAAACATTTTTCCTTGTTTATATGGCTTGAATTACCTTAACAAGAGCCTCTGGGTGGCAAAATTGGTTAAGTTCACAAGGTCTGGCCAAAAGTTTGACCCCACAAGCCTACCCAGAGGTTCCTCCGAAGACAGATCTGGTGATCAGATAAGGAAGGACCCCAGCCTTGAGACACCTAGTGCAGGCCTGCTCTGCCTGCGGGGTTGCCTCGAGTCAGAATTCACTCCAAGGCAAACAACAACTGCAATCTTAACAAGTAGAGGATAAATTGCTGGTCGTTTGCTTCCTTGTATTTGCTTGCTACCAAGAGATAGACAACAATTTGGCAAGCTCTAGGGTATAACATCCGCGATGATCCAATGAGTGAGATGAGATGGCAGCATCCCAACCGCCAGCCCTGGTCTCAAAGCGAGCTCGGCAACCTTTTGTTTGTCAAGCTTGAAATACACACGCTCCCCTTCTTCCAGAGATCAACAAACACCAAACAAAAGCCAAATCTTTTCTAAAATCTGCTTAAGCGTCTCAGATCGGAACTGTCAGCTGAGCCTCCTGTTGCTTAGAGATTTAGCGGTTTCAGGGGAGAGTCCAAGAGGAGGGACGCTGTACGCTTTCATAGCTCTGACTTGGAAAAAAAATTCTCTCAGCCACCTCACAAGCCAGAGTCTCTGTCTCGAGATGAGACAAAGGGGTGTCAGAACAGAGCTATTCCTCAGAATATGACTTCAGGGAAAAGACTATCCATATTTAGAACAAACATAATTGAAGTCCATAGCAGGCAGACCAGGCGAGGCATTCTATATGCTAACAGAGATAACAGGGCTCAATGGGGAGTTTCTGCCAGTGCAAATGTGCTAGGCATACTGTTCAAGAGAATGTGCAGTTTTGCTGGATTGTTGGCTTATGAGACATTTTTTTCGTGGTTATCATTTCAGGCTCTTCATTTCTAGTTAGTAAGCACGGGGCACGACTGTGTGGGAAAGAGAAAGATCGTTCATGGCGTCAACTAGGCTTGAGAGCTCTGTGCCTCCCACTCGGGGATGCTCAGGCAAGTCTAGCCAAGTCTGGGCCAGGTTTGGATGTAACCTACAGGTGAGGTGTCCTCTGCATGGTCAGATGCATCGAGGGACTTTCATACACTCTCATAAGTATTAATGATGGTTTGTATTTCAGGAAATCGATAATGGGCGTGTTGCTAAGCAAGGTGGGCACTGCAGGAGCAGATCCCTCTAGCCAGGGAAAAATTTACCTCTTCTATCAATGAGGATAGGTTTCCTGATAATATAGTGGTTAAGTAGCGCTCAGCTTCTTTTCCAGAAGTCAGTCATTTGGACCCTTCAAGCAGCTCTGCGGGAGAAAGATGTGGCAATCATTTCCCCTAAAGATTGACAGGCTGAGCAAGCGTAGGCGCAGCTCTACTCTGTTCTATAGGATCCCTCATATGAGTTGGAATCAGCTCAACAGCATTGTGCTTTCCATGACTGTTTTCTTTGAACTCCACCTTGCTGAGGCTTAAGCGCAGTAATGTACGTGTGCACTGGAATTCATTGCAGTATGTACTTACTTTTGCCTTTGTTTTATTTGCCATTTTAGCATATGCAAATATTCAGAAAGTATAATAAAATGATATAAAATATGTTACTAAATATTTTGTTAAAATATAAACATAATTTTAGAAAAATGGGAATAGGAAAGCAAGTATGATTCTTATGAAATTAGCCAAATTATTGGGAATTTTGGGAAATTTTATTTGGCTGTAATGAGCATTTCCTTATCAACCAGAACCCACATTAAAAAATATCATAGGGGGAGGGTAGAGTGGAAACCCAAAGCCCATCTGTAGATAATTAGACATCCCATCACAAAGGATCACGAGGAAGAGACGAACCAGTCATGGTGCAGTACAGCCCCAATGAATCATATAACTTTCCTCTAGCTCTTTAATGCTTCCTTCCCCTAGTATCATGATCCCAATTCTACCTTACCAATCTGGCTAGATCAGAGGGTGTACACTGGTACAGATAAGAGCTCGCAACACAGGAAATCCAGGGCAGATAAATCCCTCAGGACCAATAGTCGCAATACCAGGAGGATAGGGTGAAGGAGGGGGAAAAGGCGGACCCGATCACAATGATGGACATATAACAGCCGCCTCCCCACCCACCTTAGGGGATGAACAACAGAAAAGTGGGTGAAGGGAGACAGCAGTCGGTGTAAGACATGAAAAAATAATGATTTATACATTATCAAGGGTTCATGAGGGAGGGAGGGGGAGGGGGGAAATGAGCTGATACCAAGGGTTCAAGTAGAAAGAAAATGTTTTGAAAGTGATAATGGCAACAAATGTACTAATGTGCTTAACACAATAGATGGATATATGGATTGTGATAAGAGCTGTAAAAGCCCCCAAATAGATGATTTAAAAACAAACCATGGCTAATATTTCGCATGTTGCACAATCACCATTACTGTCCTTTCACAATTCATTCCACTCTCATTAATAAAAACTCAGTGCCCCCAAAGCAATGACGGCTTCTTTGCTCCTCCCTCCTTCCCTCCCTCCCTCCTCATCACAACTTGTGAATTTTGGTCTTGACATATTAGCTTTTGTCACATAAGTGAGATCAGATAATATGTGTAGTACTAGTCATAATAGCCCAAACCAGGAAACAACCAAAATGCTCATCCACAGATGAATGACTAGACAAAATGTAGCACGTACATACTCAGTCCTAAGGAAAAATGAAATCTTATGACTCTCCACAACATAGATGAACCTTGACACCATGGTGCGGAATGAAACGTCAGTCACACACACAAACATACATAGTACAGTGAACCCTTGTTTATCGCGGTTAATCGGTTCTAGACCCTACCGTGATAAATGAAATTCCGCGAAGTAGGATTCCTTATTTGTAAATCAAATA